TCTTCAAGTGTTCTTGAGTTGAACACCCTTCTCTCCACATCCATCCATTGAAATCACTCAAGGTGAGTTCATACCCCTACATTTTAATGTTTTCTCAAGTTTTAAGGGGGGAATACAAGTTAAAACACCAAGAACATAACTAAAATTTTCTAACAGCCTTCATCAGAAAAGTTCCACTCCATTCGGACTGTTTTGGACAACTTAAACATTTTATTTTTCAAAACTGTTTTAGGTGCAAGTAGTTCCACTTCTTAGCTTTAAAATTACTACTTGCACATCTCCATAAGATTTTTCTACAATTTATGGTGATTTTTACAAAACAACCTGTCTTTTCAAACACAAACCCGGACCAGTCTGTGAATATGAGCATTTTAAGACAAGTTAAAAGCTTCCAAAAATCATGATAAAAATTTTGAGTAAACTAGACTAATTTTAGGAATTCTCAGAATTTACGGATCTAGTTTTCGACTTCGTATTATTTTTCTATGATTTTTCTAAAACAATGCAGAAAGATTAAGAATTAGTTAACAGCTTCTAACTATCAAAACACTTTGTAACATGTTGAGCAAAGTGTTAAGTCCTTGATGACTTCATATATTTCATGTATTTCTTGTTATGATATATTTGTATAATAGGAATTTACTTACTGAATTTATAAAAATCCTCCATCATAATCATTAGTACAAAACAAAGCAAGTTAAACATAGTTATATTGTACTATACATTTGACTTACATAGAGTGGGATTCTTAAACACCACAAAGAAATATACTAAACTATAATAGGTATAGTTAGGGTACATATACATTTCAAACATTTTAATAAACTATAATAGGTATAGTTTATGATCATTTACATAACATACTCGTACAAAAAGGGGTACAAATACAAAGTGCCGGTTTTTATACAAAAAAGGGGTATAAATACAAAGTGCCAGGTTTATATACAAAAAGGGGTACAAATACAAAGTGCCGATTTTTATACAAAAAGGGGTACAAATACAAAGTGCCGGGTTTATATACAAAAAGGGGTACAAATACAAAGTGCCGGTTTTTATATAAAAAGGGGTACAAATACAAAGTGCTGGGTCTTTATACAAAAAGGGGGTACCGATACAAAGTACCAGGTTCACTTAAAATAGTTATTATGATATTAAAACTATATTGCATCTAGAATTGTTAGAGTTCAACTATAATCGCTGAGCGTACATGTTTGAGTCTTATAAGAATTTTGTCTCGATTGGCCTAGAATTAGTGGTGCCTGCCTCATCTCCTGTTCCTTGTTTGGTTGTGGACCTAGGGCAGACCCACTATATTCAACGTTTTATCTAATTTAAACCTTATATAACTTATATACGCTGGACGATTATAGAGGAACTCTACGGGTCATTCTAGGGTTCATTAATGCATCATAAAGGAATATTTCTATTCACACTTAACTAAGAAAATATTGGATTTTCTGCAAATCAAACTATATCGATTTTACAAGGAAAACGGTTTCTACTTCAAACAAAACTCTTATGAACTCACCAACTTAATTGTTGACACTTTTCAAAACTACTTGTATTCTCAGGAAATCAGTGAAACATGAAAACTTCATCGCTTTGAGGATGGGATGTTAAACCGTCAACAATTTATTTTTGTCATCATAATGTAATTGATTTTGAATCATGTAAACATATACTTTGGTATAACTTTTTCAATTATATTTATGTTGGTTGTATTTACTTTGAGCACTATTATATTCGTTGTTGTGATACTGTACATGAAGTCCTCCACCCCCGGACGTTTCCGCCATCCTTGGTCTGGGGGTGTGACACTCTCTTATCAAGCTTCCTTTCTTTTCACTGATCCTTCAAAACATTCAAATGCAATCTTATCACACCATGTATTAAGAATCAATGAATAGGAACTTAACGGAGTTAGATAGTGGATTTTACCTGAAGCATAGCCATACTTTTGACTCTCCCATCTCTTAGATCTCTTAGGTAAATAGGGCAACTTCGTCTCCAATGCCCCTTCTCTTGGCAATGAAAGCAAATTGACTCTTTTGGAACAACACATGGAACTACTTCAGACATCGCCTTTCTCTTATGATCAAACCTTTCGATCATTGCATGTCTTTCATTGCCATTGTCTATATCGATAAAGGTCTTGAAGGCATATTCACCAATCAACTTTGCTTTTCTATTGCGCCAAATCATTGCAGATTCAGCAACAATAAGCATATAGGTGAGATCTATAAGGGTCACGTCGTAGCTCATCATATAGTACTCTCTTAGGAACTTACTATATGAGTTGGGAAGTGACTGAAGAACCCAATCAACAGCCATTTCGTCATAGACAACGGATCCCAACATTCTTAACCTATCAATGTGTGACTTCATCCCTAGGACGTGTGCAAACACAGACTTTCCTTCTTTATGTTTACTTGCCAAAAGGGCTTGAGTGATATTGAACCTTTCAATTTTACAATCTTGTGGGTTAGGGAGAATAATTAGGAGGAGGAGGAGGAAGTGAAGCATGATTTCTTGTTCCTCGATCGAATCGTGGAATATCATCTTCATGTGGAATGCTTGTTCCACGGGATTTGAGAAGACCATAGTTGTCGAACTTTGACATCGGGAGAAAAATGAATTTAAGTTAGTTGATTGATTGAGTCCTTAGTAAATCACCCAATGAAATACTAAGGCTAGGACCCAACACAATATTCTACAACTCGGGAGAGGGATGCCGTAACCCAAATTGAAGAACATTTGAAGGTAAGTGAATGACGATTCACTAATTTCCACCATGAAAAATGAAAAATAATTTTAAGTTTTAAATCTATGAAAACTCCTAGATCCTTTGAGATTCATTGAATATTTCAATGGCATGTTTAAATCTCGATATGTCCCTCTTGTTTGTGACTGGGATGCCGACGATCACAAAGCGGGTGTGAATAACCATGCAAACTACATGGTGCCCTCACATGTTACAATCACCTATTCGATGTGCCGGTAAACCACACACGCTCCACCGAACTATGACAAACATTGAGTCACCCTTTGCTACCTTTTCTTAGAACCATTTAGTGTGCCGGTAATCCACACACGCTCCACTAACGTCTTCGCAAGGGCACAAAGTGTAATTTCATGGAATTGCATCAATTCACTTTTGCCTAAGTAACTAAGATTGGGAATTAGAAAAACATTTAGTTACTTTGTATTTCATTATACTTATAATGGAAGGTTTCGTCCTATCCTACCCGTTCGGCTAACGACCCTCCACTAGTCAAGAGTGCGGTGGGTAAGAGTGGATACCCATTCAATCGCCATTTTTAGGCAATTTCCTTAAACACCCCTTATAGACCAGCTTCGTGAATGAGGCCTACTAACGGTAAGACTGACTTTTACTTATACATACATACATACATATATAATATATATATATATATATATATATAATATATTATATATATATATATATATAATGTTAGACTTTTAATGTTATATATAGTATAGGGTGCATTTTACACTTTTAAAATACTATGTGGTTAACTTTAACAATTACACTTTTAATTCAATTAAATGGTTAACCTAAACTTTTATGGATTTATTAAATCTCTTTTAATTATACTCCTTAATTAATTAATAAAACCATAAGGGTGTATTTGAACTTTTCAAAACATTACTAGGGTTTTAGAATTTACCATTCCTAATTAAACTTTTAATCAACTTTTAAATTCCAAAACTTGAGGGCAAATTTTGAAACCTTTTTTCAAACATTAGGCTTTTAACTATTTGAATTTCAAAACTTCAAAACTTTTGGGTTCAAATTTAAACTATTAAAACCTAAAGGAGAAAATATGAAACTTTTCATAACAACAAGGATCAAATAACAAATAATCTAAACTAACATTTAATTACATAATTATCCATATTTGATTTGTTTAATGATTTCTTGCAAAACAATTTATCAATTTACTCAAAATAATTAATCAATTATCTTTATAAGGAAACAATTATCTATTAATTGATAATTATCTTTAATTAAATCAAGAATATAGTCATATATATCATAAAATCGGATTTATATTGATCTAACATGATAAGGTAACTATCCATATGCAAAAACAGCAAGAAAATCCCGAGATAAGC